TCTCATTAACTGTGACAAATATAAACAAACTAATCTTTCTCTTGAACAATAAAAAGTATTTTCAAGAATGTTAATTAAATATCATTTGTACTGTGCTGCCGAGGCTACCATGAATGTCCTTCCTTTTTCCATCAGCAATTTCTATCTTTAGGCAACTGAAAACGTTTCCTTTAGTTTTCATCTTACTCTTCAAGTACATTATACAAATGGACTGGGGAACAATGTACATCACTTTGAGAAGCCATTTCAATTCAAATATATCCATACATAAAACCTGAACCCCTGACTGGTTTTCATGATTATTGTATTCCCCTGAAAATTTTAACCACTTAATGATCTAGGATCAACTGACAAAGTAAATGTTCAGATGCTTCAGAGAGGAAAAATATCTACAAAACAATAATTATCAAATAAGTAATTTATTTCTCTACTACCATAATCATCCCCAGATAGACCAATGTCATAATGCCAGAAAAGTGTAACACTAGAAAAGGACGGTAGGCTGACTCAGTTAAGGATCTGTGATTGAATGCCACAGAACACAACCCTTGTTAACTTAAAAAAACCTGAATGCACTGGAAGGATACTGAGTATCTCACAGAATCCCAAGGACAAGTAAGGTCTTGGAAAAAAGAAGGACAGGTAGTTTGGGGTGCTTCTAGCCCATAACAAAAGGAGTTGTTACCACTATCAGAAAGAATTGTTTCAAAACGTTTGCTTCCTTGTGATAAGATCAAGACTCCTACAAGGAAAAATCTAATTCTTCTAGCCTCAATCACATGCACAAACTCTGGCCAGGGAGCAGGGTATGGCTCCTCCACTGACTGTCTTACCAAGAATAAGCCGGATGCGGTGGAGGGGGGGGCAGGGGATCCTTTTTCAGGGGACAATTGGCATGTTATTAGCAATTTAAGAGGGGATGGATGCGGAGCATTCAAAAAATCAGACGTCCTGCTCTTTTAGAGTTGAAAGCTGAAAGACAGGGGGCATTATTTTTGCTCCCATCTTAATCCCTCTGAGATACCAACAAAGTTTTGAAAAATAAGACAGGATAACAGATACGGTTCAGGTACAGAGCAGGCTTATTTTCACACACACCTGCCTGATAAGATTCTACCTTCAGGAGTCCATAAAAAGTTAACAAAACATACGATGAGTATCTTCTTTTCACTGGGTCAGTTTATCTAGTGAACTCCAGGATCCCAGCTGAGGAAGCACCTTAGCTTACTGGCAATGATCCTATTTCCAAGCAAGGTCACATTCTGAAAACCTGAGAGTTAGGGGTGCCTGGGTGGCTCAGTTGGTTAAGCATCTGACTCCTGATTTCGACTGGGGTCAAACACTGACCTCAGTGTTATGGGATCCAGCCCCACATTGGGCTCCATGCTCAGCGGGGAGTGTGCTTGAGATTCTCTCTCTTCCTCACCCTCTGACCCTCCTTTCTGCAAATAATAAATAAATCTTTTTTAAAAAAATACATAAATAAATAATAAATAAATAACCGAGAGTTAGGACTTCAACATATGAGTGGGGGGGCGGTCCATATTTGAACCCCTAACAGCAGGATTCTGGCCTCATGATGTACCAAAGCTTATTTTGCTCATTATCCAACTTGCAGCAACTAACCTATCCTGACAGCAGATGATCTGTGGGTTCCGGTTCCTTGTATTTTTGACTGGGCATGAGCCATGTATTAACATTTTACTCTTTCTGGCATTCTCACTTTATAAACCAACTACCTCCCACAACGCTTTGCTGGTGTACATACACTGGTACCCCTTAACTACACCAGCTAAAAGCAAAGAGAATGGTTAGCATGAGAGACGATGGACTCTGAGAAACAAACTGAGGGTTCTAGAGGGGAGGGTGTGGGGGGATGGGTTAGCCTGGTGATGGGTATTAAAGAGGGCACGTTCTGCATGGAGCACTGGGTGTTATACGCAAACAATGAATCATGGAACACTACATCAAAAACTAATGATGTAATGTATGGTGATTAACATAACAATAAAAAATTTTTTTAAAAAGAGGAAAGGGTTAGGACTAGACTCAAGGAAAAGTATTCAAATTCTTAAGTGATGCTGAAGGAGATGTGACATCTTGCATATGAAAAACGTCTAATTCTCCACAGTCACACAACACAGACATCAAGTGCTCACTCTTTTATTCATGTACAAAACCCACAGGCCCTCTCTGCTGAGAAATGCCCTGTTTCCCTGTCATAGCTGACGCTGTCACAGACTTCATAATCTTTCAGGGCTGTTCAGAGTCATAAAAATCACTAGGCCTTCGTGCCAGTCTATAAACTATTAGAGTCACTGCTCTCATATTAATATGGAAGAACATCATGAACAGAGACATAAGTATACTCCCTTTTTATTGATATTGACTTCATTGCAGAGAAAATTCCTCACAAGTCCATACTTTGCTGTTTGATTCCTTTACTTGGCTCTTCATATAATCTCTGACTTTGTAACATGTGAATCTCTCTACTGGTATTAGGATGGTATCTCTAACAATATTGTTTAATTTATTCCAGTTGCTTACAAACGGTTTCAGTGACCAATCATATTGGGAGAAAAAAAATTAATTTCTATTTTAATATGTTGAATATCTTCTAGAACTTCTCCCTCCAATTTTTTAAATCTTATAAAATCTTATAAATAATCTTATTAGTCTATATCTAGTCTAATATCTATAGTAATCTTATAAAATCACTTTTGAGCTCGTTTGTGTGTAATTAATATTATGTTCAAAATTTGTGTGGCCTCTTCCGAGATTAGAAGAAAAACGAGAAACACAACGAAGAAAATATTCTACATATAATTAGATCCCAGGGAAACACTTGCATCAAAACTCAGATTACTTGAAAAGATCCTTGCTTTGGCTTTGTAGCTGAATTTGAAATCAGGAAGACTAATTCTGATTAGTTTTAAAATAGAACTGCAGGGTTAATTGCTATATTCGCTAGCGTTTTCAAATGGGAAAAGTTCCACCAAATTATTCGAAAATGGAAAAGTATGGGAAATAGAATTTATTCTACAGGTGCCATTTACGGGGCAGTAATCATTAAGTCATCCTTGTCAAACACAAACATGAAAGATATCGGGATCAGCTCAAACTGGGAATAATTTCATCCAGAGGCAGTAAGAATTAAATCACCTAAATATATGTATATAACTTGCTTAATCAAATACTTTATTTTTGTGAGGTCACAGAGAGGTAAAGTGTATATTTAAACCTAAAACCTACTTCATTTTATATTTTTTGAAGTATCTTGAATAATTTTCCTTAGTTATTTCTTGCCATTCAACCGTACAGAATTTAAATGCTTTCAACTTTACCTTTTCTTAAAATAAATACGGTTGATAACATAATCATGGAGTAAATTAATACAAGTTTCCTCTTCCTCTCCAGATCCACTCTCTATTCATTTTTACTCTGTTCTGTGCAGGCTGTGGGAGAGGGGTCACTACCCTGGATCACTGCATTAGCATCTTTTTGAGGACTTGAGTGACATTAGACACCATCAGCAGATGGCAGGAGGGAGTGGAATCGGTCACAGTATTTATTCCCCTAGTTCCCTCCTGCACGGTTGCCAAGGGCTGGCTGTATCTGCCCAACAAAAACCCAGCTCCTGTCAAGCAGCTCCCTCCATACTTCTACAGCTGTCTTTATCTCCAGGTGCTGGTAATCATACCCTCTCTTCACACTTCCAGGTCTAGGATTAGTAAAGAATCTTCTTGTTCCTAGCTCCAGCGTGCTGCCCTCTTCCTTGTGGTGTACCTACATCCTTTCCGTATCTTTGAAAATAGCCCTTTGTGGGGCGCGTGCGTGGCTGAGTCATTTAAGCGTCCGACTTTTGATTTCAGCTCAGGTCATGATCTCAGGGTCCTGGGATCGAGCCCCAGTTGAGCTCCGTGCTCAGTGCGGAGTCAGCCTGAGATTCTCTCTCTCCTCTCCCTCTCCCTCTGCCCCTCCCTGCACTCACACCCATGTACTCTCTCTCTCTGAGATAAATAAATACATCTTTTTTTTAAGATTTTATTTATTTATTTGACAGAGAGATGGAGAACACAAGCAGGCAGAGCGGCAGGCAGAGGGGGAGGGAGAAGCTGGCTCCCCGCCGAGCGGGGAGCCGGATGCGGGACTCGATCCCGGGACTCCAGGATCATGACCCGAGCGGAAGGCAGCCGCTTAACCTACTGAGCCACCCAGGCGCCCTACGTCTTTTAAAAAAAAAAAAGAGAAAATAGCCCTTTATTAACCTCTATTCAAAATATCCTAATTTGAGTATCCCATCCAATTCCTGCCGGAACCAGGACTGTAATACTGCAATCCTGTAACCCATCGAACAAGATACACATACTGAAAAACTAGAGGAGGAAGGGTTACTCGTTTAGGAAAGCTGAGAAAACTGAATCCTGAGCTGACAGTTGAGCAAACAACAACAAAAGATTTATATAGCAGAATCTTGAAATGTAGATGTAAAGACGACCAAAACTAGGAAGAAAATTTGACAAACTTGTGAAAGAACCATTTGGACTGCCAGATCCCATCCTCCCTCTCCAGGTAGCCTGGTCGCTGCCCCTCCTCAGCCGGACAGACCAGAGGTTTATGGAGATCACAGAGTCTCGCTTAAAAGCATGTAGCACTTTACAGCAAACATAAGAATTTAGGGATGATTAAGGGGCGCCTGGGTGGTTCAGTCGGTTAAGGGTCTGCCTTCGGCTCAGGTCATGATCCCAGGGTCCTGGGATCGAGTCCCACATCGGGCTCCCTGCTCCGCGGGAAGCCTGCTTCTCCCTCTCCCACTCCCTCTGCTTGTGTTCCTGCTCTCGCTATGTCTCTCTCTGTCAAATAATAAATAGAATCTTTAAAGAAAAAAAAAGAATTAAGGGAAGATTAATACCCTGAGTAATTAGGGTATTTCTTCTCCAATTTGGGTCCCAGAACCCTTCAGGCAAGAGTTTAGAAAATCATCTAGAGAGGCCAGCAGAGGCGAGGAAGCCGGGAATAGTAAGAGAAACACGTTTCTCGCTAGCCTCGGTTCTCATGCGCCATGGCGACCCCCGCCCAGCAGCCTCCTCAGTCTAGCGGCGGAAAGCGCAAAGCCAAAGCTCCGTATGTGCAAGCCAAGCGGGCTCGGCGCTGCGACGGTGACGGGCCCCGGCAGTTGGAACCCGGCCTACAGGGCATTCTCATTACCTGCAACATGAACGAACGCAAGTGCGTGGAGGAGGCCTACAGCCTGCTCAACGAATACGGCGACGACATGTATGGGCCAGAAAAGTTGACGGACAAAGAGCAGCAGCCCTCAGGAAGTGAGGGAGAAGATGATGACATGGAGGCTGCCTTGAAGAAAGAAGTTGGTGACATTAAAGCATCAACAGAGATGAAGCTAAGAAGATTCCAGTCAGTGGAGAGTGGAGGCAACAATGTAGTATTCATCAGGACGCTTGGAATAGAACCTGAGAAATTGGTACATCATATTCTCCAGGATATGTACAAAACCAAGAAGAAGAAGACTCGGGTTATTCTACGTATGTTACCCATTTCAGGCACGTGCAAGGCTTTCTTAGAAGATATGAAAAAATATGCAGAAACATTTTTGGAACCCTGGTTTAAAGCTCCAAACAAAGGGACATTTTAGATTGTATATAAATCTCGAAATAACAGTCACATGAATAGAGAAGTTATCAAAGAATTGGCAGGAATAGTAGGCAGCCTCAATTCGGAAAATAAAGTGGATCTTACCAATCCACAGTACACGGTGGTAGTAGAAATAATTAAAGCTGTCTGTTGCCTGAGTGTTGTCAAAGATTATATGTTGTTCAGAAAGTATAATCTCCAGGAGGTGGTAAAGAGTGGTAAGGACCCATCACAACTTAACCCAAAGCAGCCAGTGCAAGGAGGAAATGGGAAAGAAGCTAAATTGGAATCTGGTGACAAATCAAATCAACATCACCCAGCAGAAGGAACAAACAACCAGCAGCTGGTACCAGAAAATGAGGAACTGGGGCAGACAAAACCACGATCTGAGACACAAGTGGTGGGTGCCTGGGTGGCTCAGTTGGTTGAGACACAAGTGGTGAATGAGGGAGGAGCTAAACCTGAACTTGAAAGTCAAGTCACAGAAAGATCTGAGTCAAATGAAAATGATCTCTCATAAGGAAAAAAAATTCATTTGGTGTTGCAGGTGGGTTTCTCAGATGGCGTTGGTAAGATATTGCTATGATTCCATATAAAATTGTGACTGAATAAATATATTGTTTTTGACCTTTGTGTGCTGCATAATGCTGAACTCATAATAGTGAACCGTTATTGAGCAGCCCTGTTAACAGTTCTGTTGGAGATCTTTTCAGCCCCCTATGCCAGGGTGCAGTTAGGCCTACATGCATTTGGTTGAGGTAGGAGTAGTATGGATAATGATGAACACTTTCGTGGAGGGGAGGGTGGAAGGAAGATAGTGTTGGCCTCTCCCTCCTGATTACCTTTGCCAGATGCCCCTTCTGTGTTGCCATCTGACTTACGGGAGCAAACAAACTCTGTAAAAGAGAAAGTCATAGGGAAATTTTCATTCTAAGGAAGGAATTTTTATGTGTTGCAACTCAGCTGTCCCTTCCCACTTTGTTGTAAACATTGCAAAAACATGGGTCTTAAAGGTTTAGAAGTGAATTGTTTTTGTGAAGTTTTTCTATTTTTTTGTGATTCTGTTACTTAGTTGTTATGCCAGTTTTTACATTTTATTAACATTTGTTACAAATCTGTTTTATTAACATTTGTTACAAATCTGATGGTCCAGTGCTGCAATTTTTGAAGGCATGGTGTGAGATAGAAGAGGACCATTCTAGGCATAGAACTAGACATTTCTGATAAGGTTAGTGATGAAGAATGAGTGTTCTGAGTTTCTTCAGTATGCCAGTGCAACAAGAGACACAAATTCTGTCTTTTAGTGCTCATAATCCCATGCCGTGCGGGTTCCTGTAATTGGAAGTTTTTTCAAGGTTTCCTCCAGGGTAAAACCACTGAAAAGCCTGGAAGAGACGGACACCAAAGAGGGCTGCATACTAAATCCAGACTGAGAATAAATATTAAGAGGCTATGAAATTCACTTTTGGAGAAGGGTTTATAAAGTTTTAAGAAGTTCAGTAGTATTATAGCTGTTGAGTCTTCCTGCACCAATGTCTGTGTTTATTTAATGGCTAGGAGTATGGGAATGTATTTTTATCCTCCTAAAATAGGGGTCCAGACTAGAAGGATTTGGGAGGGGCAAAAGCTATATAGACTGGACCTTGGAAATGCAGATGAGGCTGGAACTTCCTTCGAGATCTTTAGATACTTAAGAGTGTTAACTCTTAATAGGTTGAGGTCATCTTGAAAGGATGATAAAAGCATTTTAAGTTTCATTTGCATGAACACGGAGGATAGGATTTTGGTGCCTTCATTGGACTTGCTCCAAGACAAAGATACTTTTATTTTGATAGTGCAAGACTCTGGGACTTTGGGGATAAAATTGGCCATATGCTTTTAGAACATCTAACTCTGCAGAGCTGGATTCCTTTTACTTTGTGAAAGCTGCTACTCTACAGAAAGGTTTTGATTTAGTAGTTTGTTTTTAATCTTCTTGTATTTATTTGTATTTGGTAAGACCTGAGTGCGACAAAAGCTATTCTTCCCCAGCTATAAAGCACTGTGTTCTGTTGGAATCTGAATTCTTTCATTGATAGGTTTTCAGGTTTCCCAACTTTATTGTCACTGACATTTGAGCATGTTGTTTTGTAAATGATGAGATTCCAGGGTGGGAATTGAGTGGTTTCTTTTTTTTCTTTTTCTTTTTTTTTTTTCTTAAGTTATGTCAGTTAAAAAAAAACTCCAGTATTGTGGTTTAGTAAACTTGTTTTGCTCTGTGGAGGAAAGAATGTTAAGCTTAGTATCTTGAAACCTGTTTAAGGTCACACATGATTTCTAAATGTTGTTTTTACTTGTATTTTGCTTTTGGTATGGCCAGATATTTAGCTTGTTTTTATAGTTCCTGATATTTTCAGAAAAATCAAAATAAATTTGTTCCCTAAAAAAAAAAAAAAGAAAGAAAATCATCTAGAGAATCTGAAAAGCTCCAGATGCGAGAACCCAAAGACACTGAAAGCAGGAATTTCTCAAGGAAAACGTAAATCTAGGATTATCCTATAGAGAATTCCATAATTGTCAAGCCCCATCCATGAGAACAGAGCTACCAATGTTTTTTAATGTCCCATTATTAAATATGAATATATCCAGAAAGCAAAACCAGATTTGATAAATGTCTCTACTGTGAAAGGCAAAGATCAAAACAACCTACAGAAATAAGCAATATGGAGATGACAAAAATGACGCATAGAAGTAAACTTTAAAAAAGCCTAGCAGTAATATCTTCCAATAGATAAGAAAAGATCTTACATCCCTGAACAAGGACAGAATGCTCTAAAGAAACATTTGGGAAACAAAAATATGAACACTTGGACATTTAAAATACAATAGCGGAAATAAAAACTCATGTGGAGAGTGTTAGAGGATGAAATTGATGAATTCCCACTAAAAATATAGCAAAACACAAAGTGATTAAAAATAGGAGAGGAGGGACGCCTGGGTGGCTCAGTTAGTTATGCATTTGACTCTTGATTTAGACTCAGGTCATGATTTCAGGGTTATGAGATCGAGCTCTGTGTCAGCTGTCAGCGTGGAACCTGCTTAGAAGATTCTCTCTCTCCCTCTCCTTCTCCCTCTGCCCCTCCCCACTCCCACTCTTGCTCTCTTTCCCTCTCTCTCTCTAAAAAAAGAGAGAGGAAAAAGAAAAAAGAAAACAAAGAGAGGACCAATGCAGTAAGTCTAATATCTGCATAGAAAACAAAAAAAATGCAAAAGCAGGAATTATCAGAGAAATAATGTAAGAAAATTCTCCATGACTGAAAGATATGAGTTTTCATACTAAAAGGAACACATTGAGTAACCAGATCAGTGGATCAGAAAGAGACCAAAGAACATTTAGAACACCAGGGATAAAGGGAAATCACTACAAACTTACAAAGCGGGGGTAAAGCAGTTATAAAGATCTCAAAATTTATGTCCTAAGACTCCTCAACAGCAATCCTGGATACCTGAATATAAAAAAACCAATGCTTTGAACAACATACAGGAAAATATTGTACAACTCCTATTACTCAGCCATCAAAAAGAATGAAATCTTGCCATTTGCAACAACGTGGATAGAACCAGAGGGGATTATGCTAAGCGAAATAAGTCAGTCAGAGAAGGACAAATACCATATGATTTCACTCGTATGTGGAATTTAAGAAACAAAACAGATGAACATAGGGGAAGGGGAAGGAAAAATAAAATAAGACAAAAACTGAGAGGGAGGCAATATAAGAGACTTTTAAATACAGAGAACAAACAGGTTTGCTGGAGGGGAAGTTGGTGGGAGGATGGGGCAATTGGGTGATGGAGATTAAGGAGGGCACTTGATGTTTTTAAGCACTGGGTGTTATATGCAACTGATGAATCACGAAACTCTACCTCTGAAACTAAATAATAAGTAAATAAATAATAAATAAATAAATAAATTTCTACATCTAGCCAAATTCAGACATTCAACTGTCTATAGAGGTGAACAAGTCTGGGTAGAAGCAGTTCAGAATACTCTGAGAAAAACTTCAAAAAGTGTTGCTAATGATATACCTGAAGGGAATGAATACCTCGAAAAGAGGATTAGATATTTGGCAAAGAATTTGAGATTGAATTATTGATAAATATATTCTTCAAAAACTAAGCACGAACGATAGAATCATTAATACTATAGAATAGGTGAGGTTGTATTAGTGATATATATGTTTTAAAATTAAGCAAAAATAAAATTAAGCAAAAACAATACAATTAACTACAAATAAGCAAAAAATACTAAAGAGTAATCATAATTTACTACATGGCTCCACTCTAAATAATTTACATATTCTAGGAAGATACACATGAATATTAATATAACCAAAATGATGACAGAAATATATTGGGCCACTGGAGAAATGGGAGCTGGGTATGTGAGTAGTGGCAGAATACAGGAGAATTTGGTAAAACAGAGTTAAATCCTTAGTGGAAAGTCAAAAGAGCCTACAATATTAAAAACAAAATAGCACTCTAAACATGTTATTTTATTTGGAGATATAGAGGTTACTACCAAAAGTATCAACTAATAAATCATTAAAATTTCAATAGCTGATTCATTATTCCCACTTTGAAATCCTGAATTAATTACTGTCTCAGCCTCTCTCATGCCTGCAGCCTACTCTACCACCTTTCCACCCTTCAGAACAAGCAATGGTTAATTCAACCCATGCTTTCCAACCCAAGTTTTATCAGCCTACATCTGCAATGAAAGTGATTTAATTGAATTTATTCATTCACTAATATATTTGAATTACAAAAATGTATTTCTTCAACCTAAATTAGTCTCAGTGGTAGTCAAATATGGAGAATCCAGCCATGATTTCTGCCCTTTCCTAAGCTCTCTGCCCCCAGACTTTTCAGAGTTAGTATGATGTTATTTGGGAGTTGGCCTTGTTAACACGCTTTTCAAAATGTCCTAAGTTGTGAGAAAAACTTACAGCAGTCTTTCTTTCAATGCTAAGGGTTGGGTTTTTGTGTAAACATTTTTTGATGTTTGGCAAAGTTCTATCACCCTTCATAAAAAAGTTTCAATATCAGAACAAGAACAGGATTGTTCCTAATTCCCATACTAAATAGGATATTCTGTCATCTTTGAAGGGTTTTAACCAATAGTTAAAAATGAGAGGTTTCGTAAAAGGCCAAATGTCTCGGCCGTACACAAGTTACTCAGTTCCCTGTCAACAGGTAGGACTGTTACAGTGTCAGACTTCATGAGCAGAAGATGAACAGCCAGGAATAAGCAATGCATAAGAACTTTCCCAAACGTATAATACGTCAGCCCACTTTCTGCCTGCCCCTAATTCTACATATCTTTCCATAACTCTAAGACCTGGATGTAAAATGCAGAAGTCAGGGATATTGTAAGGATTTATGGTCTTTTCTGAAGGACTGGGGGACTCATGCCCTGGCCAAGGATTATAATCATTCATATATGTAGGGTTTCTTTTTCTCTCTCTGTGGCAGATGTAACACTTACTTCTTATTTCAGGAAGTCACTTAAACATGTTTCAAGTCAAAGATATACGTGAGAAACCTATTTAACTGTTTCTTAGCCCAAGCACAAAAAAGTACACTGAATGAAATGGGGGACATAAGATGGCTTTTGTAGCAGGTGGCAAAGCCTTTAATGAAGCAGCGACATCATAGTTTCCCTGGGGGCAATTACGAATACTTTAACGTGGGGTTATATGCTTTAACTCCTAACAGTCACACGGGAAGCTGGTGGAGGTGGGAGGGGGCAAAAGGGAGGGGAGGTGGTAACTTTAGTGTTTGCCAGCTTCAAGTTCAAACCAAATCCGAACATTTCACATTTCATGATATTGCCCTAAAAATCCCTGGGGCCACATTTATGACACTTGTACATTCATGATACAGTAATCTGCAAAGAAAGGAAACTGTATTGTTTAGTCCATTACGATTGATTCCAATTCCTCAACTGACATATCAGTGCCAGGCTCTGGTATGGGCACTTCATATACATTATCTCAAGTAATCTCCACAAAAACCTTTGAGGTAGAAACTGTTGATACTCATTCTATGTATGGGAAAAATCAGTTTTGTGGAGTTGAGTACCTTGCTTGTAAGTGTCATAGCCATGATCAGAAATCACTTTGTGGGGTGCCTGGGTAGTTCAGTCAGTTAAAGTGTACAACTCTTGATTTAGGCTCAGGTCATGATCTCAGGAGTATCCAGTACTCCTCGCTGGGCAGGGAGCCTGCTTAAGATTCTCTTTCTCTCGCTCTCTTCCCGTCTTCCCTCTCCCCCCCCCACCAAAATAAATAAAAGGAAAGAAAAATTAAAAAAAAGGAAAGAAATCTCTTTGTTATATTGCCGACTCCTCACACATCATAATCACTAAGATCAGTGACATAATATGGAGGATTTTTGTTTTCCTGAGTGAAGTCACATCACAGATTGCTGCCTAAGAAACCCACCATAGAAAAAGATCTCCTTTCATCCCTGAATACCATACCTCTTTTATCGTACAACCACCAGGAACATAGGGTATGAGAAATAGAGGGGAAAATAAGGTTGACTGACACTAAGGACGGGGAAAAGGAGATGAGGGAGTAGGGTTTTAGGTTTTACTTAAAAATATGTACATAAGGGGCGCCTGGGTGGCTCAGTCGGTTAAGCGGCTGACTTCAGCTCGGGTCATGGTCCCAGGGTCCTGGGATCGAGCCCTGCATCGGGCTCCCTGCTCGGCGGGGAGCCTGGCTCTCCCTCTCTCTCTGCCTGCCTCTCTGCCTACTTGCTCTCTCTCTGTATCTCTCTGCCAAATAAAATCTTTAAAAAAAAAAATGTACATAAGAGGCGGAGCAAGATGGCGGAGGAGTAGGAGACCTAGATTTCGTCTGGTCTCAGGAATTCAGCTGAATAGGGATCAAACCATTCTGAACACCTACGAACTCAACAGGAGATCGAAGAGGAGAGTAGCAACAACTCTCTGAACAGAGAAGCGACCACTTACTGGAAGGTAGGACGTGCGGAGAAGTGAATCCGAGGCGATATTCGGGAGGATAGACGGCGGGGGAGGGGGCGTCCGTCGGCCGCTTCTGGCAAGTGCTAGAGCCGCAGAGCACAAAATTGGAACTTTTAGAAGCTGGCTCCGCTGAGGGACGTCGCTCCAGTGGCTAAGCGGGAGGTGGAACCCTCGTGGGACAATGTGGTCTCAGGACCCTTGGGGTCACAGAAAGACCGGGGGTGCCTGAGTGCACCAGAGCTCCCAGGTATCGGAGTGGGGAAGCGGCTGCAGAGACGGAGCCGAGGCGCGGGCTCTCAGCTCGGGGTTGCCATAAACTGTGATCCGCGGCCCAGTCGGGCCACTGCTACTGCAGCGGGGACCCAACAAGCGGCAGAGCCGGGGAGTCTCCCCTTCCTCCCCCGGGAGG